TCTGTAACCGGGTTTAGGTGATGTTCGTATTAGGGTCTTATAGTTTCCATACAAGTTTCATATTTTCAGGTGCATATATATTGACCCGATCTATTATGAAGACTTTTATATCCAGTGGGTGCTAACACTGTGTAACCAAATAAAAGATGGTCCGTTGTTTTGGGGTATTTAACAAACTACCTGCATTTCGGATTAACAATATTTATTAGTATGTGTGCTTAGAAATTTCTGGTGAGAAAGCATTGGTCCTGTGCAGAATCATCATCATCATCATCATTATTATTATTATTGTGTGAGAGAAAAGAACGCCCCTTACAAAGTGAGGCTGGGATACAAATATATACGAGACTCGATATACATGAGGCACTTGTTGGAAATGTTCAAATAGTCTATCTACCTGGCCTCTCTTTCGCTTGTGCTGAAAATCCCAAAGTTAATTTCATATTTGATTTAGGCGTTTCAGGAAATAATAACGTAATCGTTCGCAATCGTTCACCATTACTGGTATAGAGGCTTCACTAGATGTCCAACACATGGCCATTACTTAGACATCTCTCACATGTGAAGCTCTTAGTTTGGAAACTTAGCATATGTACAATTGGTGAAGACCGGTTATAGGGAGAAAATACTCAAATTGAAGTATAACAAAACAACTCCATTCCAACTTATTAAAGTTAGGGAGATTTTATGAAGCAATGCTGTTTGCGCATTCGAATCAAATATTTGAAAAAAAAAAAAAAAAACAAAAAAAACACAGACGATTTTCCCTTCCCCATAATTTAGGCTAACTTAAAAAAAAATAAAATAAACAAGAAGAATGAAAATATAAACAATTAATATGTCGTGTATGTAATGTAGCGAATTCATTTCATTGTTGTCATTTGGCAGATTAACAAGTCCGGCCCAAGGAACCTGATACTGTTAATGTATAAAAATATTAAGAATATTCGCACATCTGTCTATCAAATCATCGTTGATTCTTATATATATATATATATATATATATATATATATATATATATATATATATATATGCGTGTGCTTGTGTGTGTGTCTGTATATATATATATATATATATATATATATATATATATATATATAATGTGTTTGTTTGTGTGTGTATCATATATTTGTAAAGAAGGAGATGCATTTTTTATTTAATAATCCGACAATTTTTATTTCTTAAACGTCGTTTTTAGTGGCTACTCGTATTTGAGTAGACTCTCCCTTTATCTATTAAACAATATATTTTTTATTTTCGTCTATTGGCCTGAGAGCGACTATTTTTCTCTAATTAAAAAATATTCAGGCCGATAGACGAAAATAAATAAATATACTGTTGAACAAATAAATGGAGCATCTATTCAAATACGATTAGCCACTAAAAATATCTTTTAAGTAATACACTTATATATATATACACACTTTATATATATATATATATATATATATATATACACACACAGATATTTAATTTTTTATTGTTATATATAAGGTATATTTAGGCAGAAATTATTCATCAAAACAAAAGAACCTACAATTTCTATCTGTTTAATTTTTTATTGTATTTTTACAATTGTCGAATCAGGTGTTGAGAATTTTGCTCGAAGTTGTGGATAAACTGTTCGAAATTCATATTTTGCTATTTTTGCTCAAGTACTTTCGAACACGCAGTTATTTTGAAGAACCAATGTGACGTCTGTGTGGAAATTTAATTCCTTTTTCTACATTCTACCATTCTTTCTGAAAATGCCTGCTATTGCCGAAATTACTAGAATAAAAACCTAACAAAATATGAACTTCGGACCGTTTATCACAAGGTACAAGCATAATCTTCAAGCCGAAAATTAGAACAATATAATAAACAATTAAACAGACAGATCATGACGATTCTTTTTTACATGTGTGTAAGTGTGTGAACGTTTACATGTGTGTGAGTGTGTGTACGTTTACATGTGTGCGAGTGGTGTGTGTGAACGTTTTCATTTCCGGAGATTGTCAATAATAAAAGTCTTTTAAAAACTGAGAACCAAATCAAATGAAGGATTGAAAGATAATCATAATATATATATATATATATATATATATATATATATGTGTGTGTGTGTGTGTGTGTGTGTGTGTGTGGGTGTGAGTGTATGTTTGTATGTTTATACATATATATATATATATATATATATATATATATATATATATATATATATATATATATATATATATATATATATATATATATATATATATATATATATATATATATATATATATATATATATATATATATTTATATATATGTTTTTGTGTGTTGAAAATTTTGTCTGTGATGATCACAGCATTTGTTAAATATAATACCGTATAAGCTGGCGTATAAGTTGATATCATATATATATATATATATATATATATATATATATATATATATATATATATATATATATATATATAACACTGTTATATGGTGTGGTGCAAACTACCGAACATAAGGTTGCTGATAACATGTCAGAGGTCGGTATAAAGATCAGAAGCGACAAGACTACCAAACGTTTACCCTGGCTAACTTGTAATGTCAGATCCAACATGACATTTTAACAGACCAGCGGTGTGTTATATTCTCTAACGATCGGTTCCCAAATGTTCAAAAGTTATCTTTGGATTCTGTCGCAGATGAAGATTTTGGTCGTAAGCTGTATCTTCTTGAAGGGATATAAATTTTATTTAACTTATACTCGCTGTTCAAAATGATGCTGCCTTATTTCAATGGCGGAGATCACGGGTTCTGTTGAAATATTGAGTATCAGTTGATAACAATCTATAGGAATGGTAAATATATAGGAAAAATTGGAGAACTTCTTTTTTGATATGTGTCGACGATGATCCGGTGGCATCAGAAAAATAATTTCATTTCAACAAATTATGCATTATCCAAACATAGAGTGATTAAATTTAAGCATACGAACGCTTGATTTTTACGTTAACTCTATCATTCTAGAAATTAGAGGGTAACTAAGTCCAGTTTAGTTTTTATCAATTCATTTTTTTTTATATTCATGTCTTTTAATGTATTCGTGTCCCACATTATTTCTGCATAGTCTGACCCTCTTTAATCCGGCAGTTAATTTTCTATTAACTTACATGGTTCGTTGTTTTATGGAATCAGCCGCCATTAGTTTATTAAGCCGCTACGAGTGCAGCGTTACAACTTTCTGCAGTAACCTACAACAGCATATTGTTTTGGCGATAAGATCATGCTCATTTATTATATATAGCTGCATAGTTAGACATTCAGGATACTATATATATATATATATATATATATATATATATATATATATATATATATATATATATATTGAGTGAAATCGGGTAGACTGAACCTTTCAGGGACCTCGATAGCTGTACTAGCACGAAGTCACAAGTCATCGTGTTCGAGGGCTTGAGCGCGCTGCCCTTGTTCAAATTGTTGATCACGCTAGATATGACGCTCTTTCCCAGAAACTGTAACTAAGGTCTGCTCAGTATAGTTGCAGTATAAACCACAGGTGGGCTCTGTGGGTGTTGAATAAATACAATAGGCATTGGCTAGCCGTCCTAGTAGACTAGTATCCTCGAATACGAGTGGCCAGCTATACATACATGCATATATATATATATATATATATATATATATATATATATATATATATATATATATATATATAGTTTTAAGGTGTGCTATATTTATGGGATAAATTGCTCAATATCAGAGATAAAGCGTATGTAAATATAAATATAAAATGAACATTGAAGTCAACACTCAGAGGCCTCTGAGTATTGACTTCAATGATCCTAATATATATATATATATAAATAAATATATATATATATATATATATATATATATATATATATATATATATATATATATATATGCTTTTAACCTTGTTTTGCATGAAACAATAAGATCCATCTTTGTAAGCATTGTTGATTGTTTTATTTACTATTTTAAGCTCTGTTCTACTTTTGAAAACACATCAATGTATTTCTGGAATGAGCTGATATGACTATGAATACATAGGTTTTTTTTAGCGGTGATTTCTCTCATTTGCCCTTTCTGTCACCCAGCAATGGTTTGGTCCCAAGGTTGCCGGATTAAAGATGTAGGACTACTAAATGTGTACAAACTGAAATAACCCAACCGATTATTAATCAAAATGTCCTTTATGGCAATTTCAATGACTCGTTATAGTAAGTTATATTTTATAGCAATATTTGGGAAAACTTCCGTTCTCCCTTTTTCAATTTTTCTGACGAATCATAATTCTGAAGTTAATGACTAAATAAGACCCTTGCGAGTTCTCCGACTATAAAATACTCCTGAAAATTCCTCTATCGCATCGTTAAATATCTGAGTTTAACAACTTTACAACACACTACAGTAACAATCATAGTTATCCCTGTTATTATTTAATGAAGAAAGAGAGGAACAAACAGAATTAAAATTTGATTTTTTTTATTATTATTATTATTAAATCCATTTTCCAAGCCAAAATTGTGAACCCGAAGATTCTGGAGCCATAAAAGGACACTATTAAATTTTACGTAAACCTTGAAATAGATAAAGAATTAAAAACTGCGTTGTAATTAAATAAAATGTAATTTCTATAGCAATAAAGTTGAAATAAAAATGAAACTTTCAGCTCTTTAACGTGAGACACGTTAAGCGACTGAAAAAGTTTCGTTGAAATATATATATATATTTTTTTATTATGATGTCGGTTCATTGGCGACACATAGCAAAATGAATATTTTCAAAATTGTCGTACATATTTACGATTTTGTTTAAAATACCTCAGTCACTTAGGCTTCCATTTCTCCGCCAGATTGACTTTTACAACAGCACATACGGTGATTTGCTTATTTGTTTTTTCGTTATTACCATATATTTTTATATAAATTTAAATTTTTGTTTCTTTGTTTTTTTTTTTTGTTGTTTTCTTTTGCATATTTTTAAAGGAATTTTATCAGTGGTGTCTCGGAGACTCTTTCTTACACTCTGGATAAACACGAGACGAGCCAATATCTTTTAACTGAAGCATGTCTGTTACGGGTATAACCCCACTGGGTGAAGAGCACGGTCTTCCAAGGTCATGAAGTCCAGTTATTTCGTTATGTACGGACACCGGAACAGCTCTAGGCGGAGTTGGCGCGTAAATCAAAGAGTCAATCATATTTGGATGCATTTGCTGCTGCTGTTGGTGGTGTTGTTGGTGTAATGAATGTTGTTGTTGCTGATGTTGTTGTTGCTGCTGCTGCTGTGGGGGTTGTAGTTGCGTGGTCGTGGGGTGTGATGAGCTATGCACAGACGGGTGGGTCATTTGGGACATAAGCGGCGAATGTCGGATACTGCCAAAACTAGCCAATCCTCCACTACCGGCAGATCCAGATCCAATCCCGACTCCGCCGACAATAAATCCACTTGCTGAACTGACTCCGTTCCCCGCTGTTGAAATCATTGACGTAGAATTGGTCGGTGCCAGCGGCAGCATCATGTGCGGCAATGACATTGAAGAGGGTGTACTGGGGCTGCTACCGTGATGTCCCCGGAGAGCGGCCAACACGGTCGGGTTCTGCGCTGAGTAACGGGAATAAGAAGTCGACGCTGGCTGGGTTTCTGAAAAATAGACGTCAACGTGTCATCAGAAATGAAATTAATATTGTTATGATTTTCTAAAAAGCATGTTTTTGAAAGAAAATTTGACTGTAAGATGAAAAACAAAACTAAGGCAACTCAACAATGATCTGGCTTTTGGTGTTATCTTGATATATAGTCCCTCCTCCATTTATATATATATATATATATATATATATATATATATATATATATATATATATATATATATATATGGGCGGTCGATAGCTGTGCAAGAAGCCACAAGACATCGTGTCCAAGGGCTTGAGAATACTGGCCTTGTCCAAATTGTTGATCACGCTAGATAATTCGCTCTCTCCCAGAAACGGTAAGGTCTGCTCAGCACAGTTGAAGTATAAACCACAGATGGACTCTGTGGGTTTTGAGTCAACGTCTGCAATAGGAATTGACTAACTGCCCTTGTAGAGGGGTATCTTCGAATACGACTGGCCAGATATCATATATATATATATATATATATATATATATATATATATATATATATATATATATATATTGCTTTTATTGATAACGTATACCTATTTATTAACTTCGATTTAACTCTGTTGAGCAAGGGCCAAAATCGGTTAGCTAGCTCGATTTATTATTTTTTTTTTACTTTTATTTGTTCTTGTTTGTTATTATTAACAATAAAATTGTCTATGCCGGTTACCAATCTAATAAGCCGTTAAACAAAATCAACCAACCCACCAACTAAGTAACCAAATGTACTTGTAAGTGTTAACCTGCGTCATCATTTGCTTATAGTGAAGCACGGCCGTATGCAAACTTACCACAGGCGCCGCTTGTGTCATTATTAATATCTTTGGATGAAGAAGATCGTGGTTTATTCGAATTTTTTTGTTTCCGCTTCCTTGTCTGAATACCGTCTTTCTTCATCGAAAGGGGACGATTTACCTGAAAAAGCAAATGAAAGAAAGACGTTTTTTTTTTGTTTAAATTAAAATCTTGAAAACTACAAACTCGAGATATAGATATTCTTATATTTAAACTTAGTTATTTTTATGCGCCGAGTTTATTATCTATAGGCGCCCATAGGACCCGAAAGAGCAAGCGTAATACGATTACAACAGATTTCTGCGAGTGAACCAGTGGATGAAGAGGGCTACGCATGACGGACATACTACAGAAGGCGTCACTTGAAATACGACGAGTCAGCGACAGTCCGTTGCAGTTTCATAAACTGGATTTTGCATGTTTGATTCCATATGGGCTGCAGAGTAATGTCATGAAATCAAGTGTGTGGATTATATCATGGCAAGGTGAGGTCCATCATAAACAAATTCATACCATTTTATTGGTACCTTTGTACCATTTGGTACCATTGGTACCTTTTCTACTCTGATTTTGTTAGACCTCCAACCAAAACTTGCAAAGTCAAACGGTGATAAGCAATGGATAACAGGAGCAAGCTTTGGTGAAACTGGAACTTTCTAGTCCAGAATCTGCAGAAGAAATTAAATTCTTAGATACGAGATAAAACTCACAACGAAGATGTGCACATATATATATATATATATATATATATATATATATATATATATATACATTTATGCAGACAGAATGGCCAAGTACACACGTTTTCCGTACTCATCCATCTTTTAGGACAAGTTTGATATTGTTCAACACCCGTAGAGTCCACTTGTGGTTTATACTGAATGTGGTAACATAGAAAGTGTTACTGAATGAGGAATAACTAAAACGGAGGTTGAAAATTAAATGGTAATCTTTATAACATCAACAAAATACAACACTCGCAAGTGGTGTGTAGATAAACCTCTGCTATTGTTGGACTACTTAGACACCATATTACGATATTTACCTGCCTACCCACGAGATAGAATGCGGCACTAAGCCAAATTTAATGCGAGGAAAATCGGGGCCGGTAGGCTCATACAAAAATTGCCCGTAGACACCACGAAGGGCAGAATCTCGTCCGGGTTCCTCTCTACACAAAGGCCGAGAGTTCGACAAGGCAAGAGCTTCACACGCTGACAGGGTAGATAGCAGATTACCCCCACTTACAATCGTGTCCAACGTATTGACACATACCCATTAGTGTTCATAGGTACGGTATATAACACTGAAACTATGCTTAGTGGACTTTTGTTTCAGTTTCCTGGAGAAAGCTAATAATCTTGCACGATTGTGACCACACAAACAAATATATATATATATATATATATATATATATATATATATATATATATATATATATATTTTTTATTATAATTATAATAAAAACATTTGAAATCGCTACACAAAAGTATCCATATTTCAATACTATGATTGTACTACTTTAGGCAATGGTAAGTAATTTACCATCATAGTATTTTATACGTGAAAGCTTTTGTGTAGCAATTTCAAAATGTTTTTATAATAACTTATAAAAAATATATTAATAATAAATGAGTCTACTTTTGGAGTGAACACTTTTATTTTTAAAGTAAATGCGACGAACAGTAGATTTTACTTTTATTCTTATATATATATATATATATATATATATATATATATATATATATATATATATATATAGTGGCCCTTGGACAATTTAAAGGTGAACCTCGCTGTTAAAATATATGCATATATATATATATATATATATGTGTGTGTGTGTGTGTGTGTATATATATATATATATATATATATATATATATATATATATATATATATATATATATATACACGTTCTATCTTTGATATTAAGCACTTTATCCCATATATATATATATATATATATATATATATATATATATATATATATATATATATATATATATGAAGAAATATAGTTTTGAGGTGTGCTATATTTATGGTGTAAAGCGATAAGTATTAGATATAGAGCGTGTGTAAATATAAAAGGTGAACATTGAAGTCAACACTCAGAGGCGACAGGCTGTTTCATGCTGGACGCAATCGTCAGGCTCTGAGTGTTGACTTCAATGTTCTTTTATTTATATATATATATATATATATATATATATATATATATATATATATATAAGTGTTGACTTCAATGTTTACTTTTATATTTACACACGCTCTATCTCTTATATTGGGCACTTTATCCCATAAATATAGCACACCATAAGAGTATCTTTCTATATATATATATATATATATATATATATATATATATATATAATCTGATATTTCGTCTTCGGATGTTCGTCTTTGAAATAGTCACCCAATTTCTATTTTTACTTTAAACAATATGTATGGCACCCTGCGTATGCGAGAAGTTTTAAATGGGGAAAAAAAACTTGCTCTCCTGCGTCAATCGGACTTGCATCCTTTTTTGTAGAAGAAACCATCATTTGATCCGGTGTGTTTTACTGCCCGATTACATAAGAGAAAGGAGGTGGTATACTTTGAAGAAGAAATAACAAGCTGTGATATAAGGGAAAATAGAATCTTTTGACATTGTGACACTTTTCGTAGCCGAGCGGTAAAATATAAATATGTTTTATGTAAAGGAAAAGCAAGCTGCAATTTTAGGTTGGGAACATATTAATCTACCTACGTATACAAGACTGAATTACGTGGATTCACAAAGAAAGAGTTTATGTTGAAAATAAATATTTGTCTGTAAAAGAAATGCATTTTAAAAATATTATTCTAAAGACTTCTTGAGAGACATACCCTTGTGCAAATTGCTTGGAACAATTGCTTTAGCTTCCTGTCTTTCACCATACGGTCAGTTTTAAACCCACTGGAGTGACAGGATGTAATCGATTTCTATTTTTTCCTCAGATTTGCAGTGGTATGCAGTAATATGAATCTATTTTAGGAGTATATGATTAAATTTATTTGGCCTTGAAAAATATTGTCATCCGTCATTGCATCAGAGTTTTAACAGGCCCAGACTCTATTGTCATGACTTTCGATTAGTTGTCCTAAGGCCATTGTCTGCGATGGACGTTACACCATGGAAACATAAGAAATGTGTAACGCTGCACGAGCAAGCGGGAAAGCATTACTTCTCAAAGTATTATAGACTGGCCCGAAACCTCTCCTGATTTAAATCTAATTGAGAATTTGTGGTCAATTTCCAAGGAAAGACTAAGTACTAATGTACGAAGTATATATATATATATATATATATATATATATATATATATATATGTGTGTGTGTGTGTGTGTGTGTGTGTGTGTGTGTGTGTGTGTGTGTGTGTGTCACATTACTTGCAAAACCAAATCTAAAACAAGGGGAAACAACAGATTTCTCCTACCTGATGTAATTTGTAGTAAAGGCCGCACGCATTGCACACGGGGTCTCCTTCAGCATTCCGTCGCCACAAAGTTGTGGTTCTCGTCTGACAATTGGCGCAAGAAAGTCCATTCCGTCTTGTGCCCTGTCGAAAAAAAAACACGTTTTTATAGATATTACCCTTTTTTTTACTGAAAATAGAACAAGTAATCAAACAAATACAAAAAATTAAATATTTTCAAATTGTTTTAACAGGGGATGAAAACTCCGTGACTGAAATCCGAAGGCGCTTTGTGATAGCGAACGATGCCTTCCAAACGCTAAGCAAAGCAATAAGACAAAGAAACATTTCGCTAGAAACAAAAAAAAGGGTAGCGCATGCTTATTTAGTATCAGTCCACCTTTATGGCAGTAAATGTTGGACAATTTCATTAGTTGGCTTTTCGCCAACCAATTTCCTTGAATCTTTTATCATAATTACTTTAATGTCTTTCTCAAATTGGCCAAAAAACGATATTTTTGGATTTCATCAATTACTTTAGGAGTGTCTCTTCACTAGTCACCAGGTATCAGTCTAATAATAATAATAATAATAATAATAATAATAATAATAATAATAGTTTCAGTTATAGCTGGATCCTCCGGATAGATTGAAAAAGGTTCCGATAGACTCACTGACGAGATTCTTGGAATTCCTCGCCTTAAAAAAATAGAAAATAATTGAGCTCACAAGTACAGCTCGGACATTACGAAGAGCTTTATCTATGTAAAATGTGTGTGATTTACAAAAACGATCAGTAGAAAATGTGATGAAGACATTTCTAAACTTGGGTCTCGGGTTGGGACCCAGAAAGAAACGTGTATAACATAAATCAAAGGAAATAATAATAATAAAGATAATCCGGGAAAACTTCACGGTTTTCCAATTTGGAATTTCTTATAAAGGTTAATTCTTCATTTCATGATTGAATATGCTTATGGCGAGTTCTATGGCAATGACATATCTGTAGAAATTTCCTTGTCGCATCGTTACAGGTTTGAGCTTCACAACATTAACAAAATATTGCAGTAGCAATCATAAATATTAATGCCGGTCGTTTAAGAAGTAAGTGGGGTACAAATCAAACTATTTGCATTTGAGAACTTTTTCATTTCACTGAAACAGACGTTAAACACTTCAATCTTCTCTTCTTTCATTTTCTGATTGAAACCAAGTAGCGTCTTTGATGTGTCATTTCTGCTCTTAGGCGCTCAAAACGGAATAGTCCATTATTTATGAGGTATTAGCGGTAGACGTTAGACCCTTCTATCTTTATTTTTTCACTGAAACCAAGAAGCGTCTCAGATATGTATTTTGTCTTTCAACGCTATCAAAACGGAATTGGCCATTATTTAAGAGGTATCGGCAGGTCGTAATTTCATGCGATTAAGGAACTAACGAAGGGTGAAGCAAACACAATTATTATATGATTATTATTAATTGACTATTTTTCTTTTCATTAACTCTTCGCGCCAATTATCGAATATTCTGCGCCATCTTTATTTAAACCACGACATTGTCGTCTTCGAGAACAACTCGAATCATTTCGAAGATCGTAACTCCCCTAAAGCCTTCACGATGATCATGAGAGTCATTCTTTGCGTTTCAAGATTTATAGGCCTGGTTTCAAAATGTCTGCCGGTTTTGAGGAAGGTGCTAATAGAAGATTTTATTGATAAATTCTCAATTGCTAATTGCTAGTAGAAGAAAAATCCCGTTGTTTTGTTATTTTGGTCGGATTTTGGAAAGTGGGTTGGGCTGAGAACTTTTCTATTCTTGCGAGTGGAAGTTAAAAAAAAAAGATGGTCAAAGATAAATGAAATTAGATAAATCCTAGTAAGAGGCGTTGGCTGATGACATATTCTTGGATTTGAGCATGTAGATAAATGTTAGGCGCATAGACCAGAGTTTGTCCTACAAAGCCGAAATCACAAAATACTTAAGGATTTCAACACCTAAATCGACCGCTGCTTTCAAAACGACCGGATCCTAGATGTGAGGGGAGAAAAAAAACATCCATTTCGTAGACCACAGAATAAAAAAAATTAGTTAAAATTTAGAAAAAATATCAGATCCTTTCACAATAATGTTAATCCTGTACATGGCCCAAGAGCCAGTCGAAGTAGTGGTTTACAGAGTAAGACGTAAGAGACACGCAATGAGGATGTTTAGGGAAAGTAACGGTTTACCATAGATTTGAACAAATTAAAATTGTAGTGATCGGAGAAGCATTCGCTTCAGAGTCTCTACCACAAAGTAGCGGTTCCTGGGAAGAAGTTGTTCGGGTGGAATTTACCTATCACCAGTGGAGCAGCAAGGAAACGAGAGTAGTTCGCTACAATGTGCGTGGCATGGTGGGTTTTAGCCATAAAGGTTAGAACTGGTGGAACCAAGGAATGTAGTTCTTCTGAACACTTTCCATGGAAATAGCTAAAGAGAGGCTTGAAATTTTTCGTCTATAGAAAAGGGATTGTTAGCTAGAAAATAATTCATCAACTACAAGGCAAACACTTTTATAATCTATCGAGACTGGAAAGTGAAAACTGTGCAGTTCATACCCAAATATAGCAGTGGTACTCCATTTTCGGCCTGATCTCTCTCATGTAAAAGTATAGGATAGCAAGAGTCATGTACTTACTAGAGCGGTACAGACAACCGATCATTTTTCCAGCATCTTTAGCGAAGGATCATATGCAGGCGTTCCACTCGAGATCTGGGGTGAGTTTAAATCCCAATAAGCGCTAAAGTCATAAGGCCTCCCTGATGCCTATCCATCGCAGCAGACGAAAACTTAGGGTACGCTCGGTGATGATGAAACAGGACTAGTTTAGTTTTGTGGCATGGAATCCGACAAGCCAATTTTCCCGCCCATTGAACGACTAGGTCAGAGGAGAAATCAGTTTTTAGTTTCTAGCTATCTACAATTTTAGAGTTGCACCCATATTCAGATGAGAAATATATGTGGTGTAATGGAATGTCCCACACTCCTTATCACCTATGTGGACTGACTATATCAGTATAGTCAGCACAGAATATAAATGGGGGCTGCTTCGGGAATTGGAGATTCGTCTCCATCTGTGCTGGTCAAACTCTCTGCCTACGGGCTTGGTTTTGACCTGTGTATATGGGGTTTACGGGGAATTTTTGCCCGTGCCTACGGGCTTGGTTTTGACACGCATTAAAAAACGTCCTTGTGCCACATCCTGCCTCGTGGGGAGGTAAGGTAAATAACCTTGCTTCGGGAATTAATTGGAGATTCGTCTCCAGCTGTGCTGGTCAAACACTCAGCCTCCGAGAGCAGAGAAGATCCCCAGCTGGTTGTGGCCCCTTATCCGGGCATTAATTAGAAGATATTTATATCTTAACTAAGAAAATACTTAATTAATAATAATAATAATAATAATAATAATAATAATAATGATGTTTAAGAGAAGAGCATGATTTAAAAAATAAAAAAAATAAAAAGTGTTTGACAATATTTTTTCTTTTCTTTTTCTTAAATCATGCTCTTTTCTTAAGTGTTGAAAAATATTGGAAGAGTTACGCCAATCAATTTAATAATAATAATAATAATATTAATAATAATAATGACAGTTAATTGACGATAAGATGCTCAGTGTCTTTCTTAAACTTAACAGGAGTTAAACTGACCGATTTTAACTTTAACTTTAGAAAATTTATTTCGTTTCATTCCAAAATAGTTTTTTTATTGTTTTCCTTGGCGAAACTAAAAAAAGAAACAAAGTTGCCAATAACTTATGGTTAATGAGATGTGATTTCATATACTTGCAACCCTGAATTTCTCAGTAACTTCATAGCTCGCTAATAGCATTGCAACGTCTCATCCAAAAAAGAGAGAGAGAAAAAAAAACAGAATACTAACAATCAATTGCAGATCAATAACATGCTTACCTCTGCTGGAGAATGCTACTTCTCTAACAGTAATACTGATACGAGAGAAAAAAAAAACGAACACTTGAATAAAAAGAATCAGATCTCCCCTACTTTTTGCATTTTTACACTGGGTTTTAGTCTAATACAACGTTGCATGGAGAAAACAGCAGTTTAAAAAATGTGTTGTAGGAGCATTTTAAGTAGCGTGCATCTACGTAACTTTAACATCTACATTTTAAATGTGACTATTTACCAGGGCCCGAACGATTACCTCTTGGGCTGTTGTGAAATTTAGCAACGGTTTCAGCCAGCAGACGATACCTTGTTACCTTTTTTTTTTTTGTTTTCATTTTCATCTCTTATCATTCTGAGCGCGTGTTTGGCTCGTGGGAGAACGCGCGCATGCGTGAATAAGCGTAGGCGCGTTTAAATGAGCATTCGTTGGTATAAGGGGTGAATTTTCTAACGCATATGTAAAAAAAAGAAGGAAGATTTCATCTCCCAGCCATTTTCGCGATGTAAACGAATGCTGAAGAGAAAATAAATAAATAATTTCTAGATTTCTTATCGTTATTTTTTTTTTCTTTATTCACTTTGCAAACGTTGGCGATAAACTTCTTGAAATATGAGACGAACGATGCGGATAGAAAAAAGAATGAATGAATATCTGTCGTCCTCAGAAACTGAGACACGAAAGGAGGACAGCTAAAGAAAAGCAGTAAAAAAAATGTAAACGGATAGATGAAAGAAAGGAGAGCAGAAGACAACAGCAAAAGAAAGAAAGAAAGAAAGAAAGAAAGAAAGAAAGAAAGAAAGAAAGAAAAAAGCTCGAGTATCGACGTAGGGAAAAAATAAAGAAGCAAAATAGAAAAAATGGCGTATGACATTTTATTATCACGTTCTGGTTTTCTTCCTAGAAGAATAAAAAAGAATGAAAATCAAGTGACAAAATGAAGGATGTGTGAAAAAGGAAAGATAAGGGTAAAGAAGAAAGTAAAGAAACAAAAAAATAGAAGGAAAGAAAAATAGTAAGTAAGAAAGAAAGAAGCAAAGAAAACAGAAAGAAAGAAAGAGAGAAAGAAATAAAAAAAAGAAACAAGGACAAAAGAAAGATTGAAAAAAAAAATAGAAAAAGCCGGAAAGAAAATTTGAATGAGTTAAGAACGAAAAGAAGAGTAGGATCGAACAAAAGCAGAAAGAAGAGGAAACAGTGACGAAAGAAAGAAAAAAAAAGGAAGAAAAAATAAGAAAAGATATAAAGCAATAATAGAATGATTAACGAAAACTCAGAAAGAATGAAGGATGGAAAGCAATAAATAGAAAGAAAGAAGAAAAGAAAGGAAAACAAAAAGGACCAAAAGAGTAAAAAATAAGGAAAAACAGAAGAAGGAACAGAAGAAAAACAAAGAATTCAGGAATGATGAAGTGTATGTTTTTATAGTTCTTAACGACTGGCCATAAACAGAGAGAGAGAGAGAGAGAGAGAGAGAGAGAGAGAGAGAGAGAGAGAGAGAGAGATAACCGAGAATAAAAAGTCATGTGACGAGATGTTATCGGAAATTTTGTTCAATATATTAACAACAAGTCTAGGTGCGGAATGAAGGAAAAATAGATTATTTAAATCAACGGATGAAATAAAGGAAGAAAAAATAAATAAATTGAAGAAAAGAAAGAAAATAATCACGGATTTGTGAGGGAAACTGTTTTGCTCTTTCACATATTTGTCAGTGGGGACTTTATTATTGTTTTGCTCTTTCACATATTTGTCAGTGGGGACATTATTATTGTTTTGCTCTTTCACATATTTGTCAGTGGGGACATTATTATTGTTTTGCTCTTTCATATATTTGCAGTGGGGATATTATTATTGTTTTTCTCTTTCATATATTTGCAGTGGGGACATTATTACTGTTTTGCTCTTTCATACATTTGCAGTGGGGACATTATTACTGTTTTGCTCTTTCACATATTTGCAGTGGGGACATTATTATTGTTTTGCTCTTTCATACATTTGCAGTGGGGACATTATTACTGTTTTGCTCTTTCATACATTTGCAATGGGGACATTATTACTGTTTTGCTCTTTCACATATTTGTCAGTGGGGACATTATTATTGTTTTGCTCTTTCATATATTTGCAGTTAAGACATTATTATTTTTTCTTTTACATATTTGCCAGTAGGGATATTATTATTTCTTACACTTTTATATATTTGTCAGTAGGGATATTTTTTTTCTCTTTTACATATTTTTTTTACATTTCTCTGTGCGGGCGTCATTATTTTTTGCCATTGTTCATATTTGTTTTGGGGTATGTCATAATTTTTTTTTTTTTTACATATCTGTCAGAGTAGACATCATTATATTTTTAGTTTTATTTCTCAGTTTAGATATCAATTTTTTTACGTATGATATAGATATAACAAGGCCAAATTATGTGAAAGCGGTTAGGAAGATTATGTTTCGCCAATCTTCTAAGTGTATATAGTATTCTATTAAAAGTGAACATCCAGATTTTGCGATTCGAAACATTGGCGTACAAACACCAATCTCTGACATGGAATATTCATTAAACACTTACTAAGTTTAATTCAATAAACACTAGTCATCCCAAATTTGTTGCCATGTGCCAGACATAAATGCACTAGTATGTACTTATTTTACATCGTGCCATGTGCCAGACATAAATACACTAGCAAAGTAATAATACCGATCTCATGCCTCTAAAAGCTGTGATAAGAATATCTTAGTCTGGTACAAGGATATTGTTGAGAACTGATTAAGGAACAAATGTGTTGGTCTTGTGCGACACACGTACATTCATTCGTATAATCACGCTAAACAAATAGCGCAGTTTGTAAAGTTAGCATTTTAAACAATGCACCACGGTAGAAGCTCTACAGATTGAGTTATGCATGAGTGAAAGAGAAAGTGAGCAAGATAGAGAAGGTGAGCAATCTTGGGATACGTTTTCTCTTTAATTAAGATGCAATAAAACTAAAACGCCAATTTTCACACAAATGAAGGAAAATCTCTTAAAATGCAGGCGACTAATCTTCAAGTGCCATTTTTGCTTGGCGCTATCAGCTTCTGTCTCTCGTATTGCCTAATGCTAATTTTATTTCCGTTTCGCTCTCACTTTCTCCCCCCTCTCTCTCTCTCTCTCACTTACTCTCTCTCTTTTCTCTTTCTCTCTCTGTCCCCCGCTTTCAGTATTCAAAGTTTCGGTGAAATTCTCGGCTATCTACCCACGTAACTTAATATCTAACCACAATCCATAAATAAGCTTATCTCCTTTCTCCGGCTTGAAGGGATTCGAAGGATGAATGTTGTTGTTGTTATTATTATTATTATTATTATTATTATTATTACAGATTTTCTCATTTGCTGTTTGATGCAATCCTGTATCGAAGCTTTGAGATGATCTTTGACGTAAATGAATGAGTTTCGTTAAACATTATTGTGCATATGGGGAGAGTTTTTTCATGATTACGTGTGCAGTAAACGGGAGAATAATCTTTTGTATCTCAGATAGTGATGGTGTTTCCTCAAAATTTCTTAATGTGTGTATCTGTGACCTTTTTAATCATTCATCGTATTCCGATTATTATTATTTTTTTAAAAAGTAATTTTTACCCTGTATTTGTTTTCTAATCAACGACACAGCGCAAGCGAAAAAACGTGATTTTTTAGTTGTTTTCCGTGAATTAAAAATATTTAAATGAATTATAGTTTAAGTTTGAAGCCCAGATTAACATTTAAGATTTAAAATTTTTATTTACGTATTTGTATGTTTCTATATATACAGGGTGACCCAAAAAAAACGGGAACTTTTTAACAATCCAATAAAACCAAGAGTGATAGAAGAAAAATATTTTATTCATAGGAATTGAAACCTTAAAACATGCCATTTAAGAAACAATGATGGAATTTTCATTTTTTTAAAATTACGTCCTGTAGATGGATTCCTCCTGTGCGAATGCATTCTTGAAATCTGCTGTCGATATGTATTATTTTTATTAGTTATTTAAGTTTATTTCATTACGGCGTATTTCATTACTATTAATTCCACTACTATTATTTAGTTTAATACTAGTAAGTTTAATAATATTATTAATTACTGTATTGATTTTCTTTGAAAAAATAGAGTTACTTCCCTTGATTTCCTAATGTTTCTCCTTCTGAATTACGTTTCATAACTTTATAATTCTTATTTCAAACCTTATTTTCAATCTTAATTGTTAATCTGGGCCTAAATTGAAATTCAAAATTAAACTCCAATTCATTTAAATATTTTAACAATAATGATAATCCACCCCAGCAATAAAGTATCTTGCAATAATCAGAAATATTATAAAACGCTGTTACCACAAAATAAAAAGACTAACATTTGAAAATTGCGTCAGCATGAAACTCAGAGTTGTGCAATCAATGGAAGGTATTATTTTAAGACATTTTTATGTTTATACATTCTTTTTTATAGATACAAATATTTAAATATAAAAAAAAGATAAAAATATCTTAAAATAATCGTTGGACATTGTCCATTACATAATGTGTAAGGTATTATGTATATTTCTTACTATATATTAAATAGCTCGGTTATTTAACACTGAGCTCTGCTTTTTCTTATACTATAGAATATATATATATATATATATATATATATATATATATATATATATATATATATATATATATTTGTATACGATCGCTCGCTCGTACATAAATAGTTGTTATATATATCGTATACAAATATATACATACATACATACATATATATATATATATCTATATATATATATATATATATATATTTAAACCTAGAAATCCAGACAAACCTACCAAGCGGATCGTCAGGGAAAGCTGGCTAGGTCTGCTCTACTTACTGTATCGAGCACTTTATTTAGTTATTTTTCCTACTCGTATCGGGGTTTTTTTTCTTTGGGCTTTGGACTTGCATGCTAGACGATTATTTTCGGTTAACGTACATGTTCTTGGTTTTTTCCTTTTTTATACCTTTTTTTCCCTTTGGTATTGGCTTGTTTATTTGCAAATCAAAACACTGAAGGCTTTCCGAACGAGTATAATTTCTTATACTTACAAGATTACTAATAATATATATATATATATATATATATATATATATATATATATATATATATATATATATATATAAGCAAACATTGAAGTCAACACTCAGAGGCGACAAGCATGAAACAGACTGTCGCCTCTGAGTGTTAACTTCAATGTTCACTTTTTTATATTTATATTTTCATACGCTATATCTCTGATATTGGGCACTTTATCCCATAAATATAGCACACCTTAAAACTATATTTCTTCATATATATATATATATATATATATATATATATATATATATATATATATATGTGTGTGTGTGTGTGTGTGTGTGTGTGTGTGTATTTGTATACGATCGATTGTTCGTACATCAACAAATATTTACCCGTTTGGTTATATATATTTACATATATATATTCTTTCTTTTTATGTGCCATGTTCTTTCAGGACGTAGGCGATCATGGCTCTTCACTTCACCCTTTCCCTTGTGGCTCTCAAAAAGTTTCGTTTCTCTGCCCACTGACCACGTCCCGCCAGGTATGTCATGCGTTGCTTTCCCTTGTCTCTTTGTCGCACTATTCGACCTGTGAGTATCAGATTCTCCCACATTCAATATTTACTTATCCAGCCTCAGTTTCACTTAACGGTTTCTTTTTAAATGCGTGGCTGGTTATTATCCTGGGATCTATCGTTGTTTTCACGATTCTTCAGAAGAAATACGCCTGCGTGCCGACAGTTGGAAAAGTAAGAGAGACTGCTACAGGATAACTAATGAAAAAAAATTCTTTATATGTACTTAAAAAAAAAGGGATTTAAAATAGACCATTTATATATATATATATATATATATATATATATATATATAAAAGGAAAGAAATTCCCACATTTCAAATATATTTATATATATTGGATTCGAATGAAAGTTAAGAAGGGTCTGCCACATCTCTCAAAATATCTTAGATGGAACAGTCAGGCAGTTACGTGCCATGCGTGATACACGCTATGGTGATCATGTATCTTTCGTTACATGATTGACGAGGCAGATTTTTTCCCACAGTAGGTAGCCATTTCTGCGGTAGACCAGTTGTCATTCAAGGCTATAGAACCCGGTCTGTCTTGCTATTTTCCCATAGCTGGGGGAGAATAGGAGGATTCGTACCTTTCCATTGAGTATTTGCGCGTAAGTGAATATCAGTCAGTTATGTGCCATGCGTGATACACGCTACGGAGATTATGTATTTTTCGATACATGACTGACGAGGCAGATTTTTTCCCACAGTAGGTTGCCATTTCTTTCTGCGGTAGACCAGTTGTCATCCACGGCTATAGAACCCGGTCTGTTATGCTATTTACTCATAGCTGGGGGAGAAGAGGATTCATACCTTTCCCAAGGGTATTAGCCTGTAAGTAAATGTAAATGGATTCGACTGGAATTCGAACTCGGCTCTCCGATTCCACAATTCAAGCCGCTATCCATTATGGATATTGAGGCATAGAAAAGAGAGTTATGCTCTTCTACATTGTCTGTAGGATAAGGTCTGGCAGTCGGTATTGCCTTCGCTCGAGATTTCTTTTTTATGCATTTTTGTTTTTTGCAATGAGATACGGTGATGGAGATTGACTACATGTTTGTTTCTATGTTTGGGCGTGTGCTTTATTTTGAACACATTTATATATATATATATATACAAAGAAACGTTTAATTACACATATAAGGATATAAGGGCGGGCGAGTATTCAAAGTTTTTCTTTACTCAAACGATTTCTCACGTATGCCGCGTAGAGAAGTTATTACCGACAAAGACAATGTCCTTGAATGTCTAAATAATCACTCGTCGCAATCAAACATCGTAGGGAAAAAAAGGACACTTTTCACGATTATATTCGGGATTTCATAATGATTTTCAATTGTCGACAGCTGTACAAATTCAATATCACTTCATATTTTGATATAAGCGCGGTGTAACCCGTGGGGATTGAAGTCAATAAGCTAGCAGATGATAAAGAGAGATTGACTTGCTAGCAGTCTGTTCTCTGCCAAGCAACTTTTAGCCATCTTTCAGATTTGGATGTGCGGGTGGTGTAATGATTAGCGGCTTGGCAAGAGAAATCGGCATGCCATTCTGTGCGAATTCATAACGTTTCTTTTCGGCAATGGATATCATTGAGAAAAAAAAAATCTTCTCTCCCCAAACTATGGGTTAAATAACAGGACACCCTGGCTAAAAAGCCAGTCTAGATATCGGGACTTGATAAGAAACAATCCTCTGTGAAAATTGGTCGGAAACACACACACACACACACACACACACACACACACACACACACACACACACACACACACACACACACACAAAAAAAATATCTGTGTACAAATCCGATTGGTCCAATAGGCAAACCAATTCCACAATTGTCTCCGTTCCTCAATAGCAAGTACGCAACTCTTCCTCAGAAACGAAAGTGCCTTTTGAATGTGGCTACCGTACTTTTATGCAACTGACCCAGCCATCGCTCAGCCAATGAGCGCTCAGAACCAGCCGATAAAAATGGCTAGAAGTAACCCCACCACTTCCGTCCACACGAAGTGCTTCCCAAAACTCTTTCAGTCCGAAGCTCGTCAATTCGCCGTCTCCACACTCCATTTCAAAACATACACCCAACTCTGGCCCTTTTGGGTTGCCTAGCTAAGTCTCCTCAAGCAACCTTTACTACTCATTGAAATATCTCGGCTCGAAACACACGCATACACACACACACACAAAATAACTGAAATTCTTAAATCACTTGAGTTGCCCATGTTCCAGCAAACGAAAATAGGGTCTATTTATTTAAGCTCAGGATAGTCTTTTAAAGGGCAATAATTGCAGTGTACCCTCTTCAGAATCAAAGCAAGCAAGAACTAGACAGCTAATGGATAACTAATAAAAAAAATGTTATTTTTTTTTTATATGTATTAAACAAAACATTTAGCATGATTTAAATTAGAGCACTTTCATATACGTAAAGAAAGAAAAGAGAGATGTGCTAGAGGCGATCTAACAAGACGAGATCGCTAATAAAGGTTTTCTACTACGCTAACTATCGTCATTGACAATAGAGAAAGGTCGAAACATGTTTTTTTTTCCGAAACTTACCTGTATATCTATTTTCGGATGCACCTACCAAATATATAAAATCGAATCGAACATAACTTTACTTATTAAAAAAAAAAAAAAGAAGAACTAGAATAGTACTTACTTGGGAAAAGTTTGCTGAAGTAATATTCTGTCTTGAATTTGGTGAGCAGAGGACACTACTTTGATTGGCTCTTTGGCTGGTGATGGCCGGCGATTTGTCTCGCGGAGACGGCAAATCGATACCGTGTGAGGTTGGCGATCGAGGCAGAGCGCTGGACGCGCACCGGTTACAGAGGTAATGCATCGTGTCACTCTGTAGAATAACCATATCCCCTGATCCACAATTGGCACATTCATGAACTTCCATTGATTCTATGAGCCTCGTATCTGAAAAGAAAAAGGAAATCTCTAACAAATGAAATTAAACAATGTCTTACCGTCATAAGCTGAAATGCAAGTAACATTTTTCTTACTCTTTCTCCTTCGTTTCACTCCTCTGTCGTCCTGGATAAGACGATAAACTACATCCGTGTCCTGGGTAAGACAATCAACTACATCCGCGTCCTGGGTAAGACAATCAACTACATCCGCGTCCTGGGTAAGACGATAAACAACATCCAACAGCAAAGCCTCTGATCAGGAGGTTTTGAGGAGCTTGGAATCACCTCTTAATTGCTGGTGTTCCGGGATGGTAGAACCTGTTAGGTCCCCATCTATAAGCAAATAAACCCCCAAATTGAGGTCAAAACACTATGAAAGTGTAAAAATAGGTAAGTATTAGCAATACTTTTTTGTAAAAAATTATTACCAGCAATAAATGTTGTTGTGGTTTCTGAATGTTACCAGTCGGACCGGCTTTGGATTCAGATATTTCCTTCTCCTAGACCAACTGACAACCAAGGCTAGAGAGTCTACGATTTCATTCATACCTGAGGATTCGTCACTTTCCTATTGGTGTTTGGGCAAACAATGAATGCAATGAACTTGAATTCGGCACGCCGATTCAAATTTCCGCGCCTAAAGATATTACGGTATGTAAGGACATTTCTTTTCTTTTATCTTTGACAAGACAACTTTTTGAAGAATTATGGTTGGATGTTCTTGATAATCAGGAGACGTGAAAAACCGGAGAGAATTAAAAGGAAGACGTAGCAGTTATCAATTTGGAAATCTAAATCGGCAAGTCAATTTTACCGATTCACACACGCTTTTAAACATGATACAGAAGTGCTACATATACTAAAAGATGAAGTGATATCAGCTCTGGAAAAGATGGACAGGTACAGATAAGCAGGACCTGATGGGATCGTAGCAGAAATTATGGTTTTTCGGAATCGACAAGATCACAGAAATAATAACCGAAATACACAAAAGTGGCCACATACAGCCGTTAAACAAAACAATCATAATCTAAAGAAAATAAATGTAAGCAGGCTAAAGAAGAATTGATCGATGAAAATTGCTGGAAATAGAGATAATAAATAGCACAACACACAGCAAACATGCAACACAGAATAAAAGAATTAAGTGGACGAAAGTTGGGCCAAACGACTGGCTCTATAAAATCAAAGGAAAGATCACTGCTAACAGAAAAAGAAAAAAGGCTCCAATATTGTAGAGAAAACTACACTGGAAAATACAGAAAATGAATTAAGATCAGAACTGGAGAAGATGAACAAGGACAAAGCAACAAGGCCTGACAGGATCGTAGCAGAAATGCTCTCAGCCTGAGATGGGTTTTCGGAATCGACAAAATCACAGAAGTAATAAACGATATATAAAATAGCAGCCACATATCAAAGCATCTCATTAAATACATTTTCTTAACATTACCTAAGAGATCAGCCGGAAATAAATGTGAACTTCATTTGACAGTTTAATGAGCCACATAACGAAACTAATGATCCGAATTTTGATGAGTCGAACGTGAAGCAGAATTAGACCGGAAATAGGGGAGGAACAATGCAGCAATACCTGACGGAGTCGTGGCAGGAATGCTCTCAGTCTTAGATGTTTTTTTCGGAATCGAAAAGGTCACAAAAGTAATGTGGGGAAAATAGAAATGGTTTACCTCCCAAACACCCTCGCGTCTGTCTGGCCTGTGGGTTGAGAAAGGAAAGAAAAGATCCAAGATGGCGTCCGTGACTTTTAATATTCACGGTCTCGTGCAGTCACGCAAAGTCGCGTTACACACATGCTAATGAGGTGTGTCTGGGCTCCATAAAAGCAGGTCGCTTGGAGAAATTGGCAGACCGGCATTACACCCGTGTTTGGTGTACATCGCGGTGCGTTGCAGCGTGTCAGACATTTTCAGACGGAAAGAGTTGCGTCCCTTACACTGTTGAAGTCGACTCATTTGCTACAAGTAATAAAGGAAATACGCAAATGTGGTCACATAGAGGGGGGGCTGACTAAATCCATCTTTGAGATATTACCTAAAATGCGAGCTCCATATAACAAACAGTTTAATGAGTCACATAATCGAACTAATAATGCGAATCCTGATGAATAGAGCGCGAAACAAAATTAGACCGGAAATAGAACAAGAACATTGCGACTTTGTCAAAGGCACCGGAAATAGAAATATGATATTCATGATCAGAATGCTATCAGAGGGAACAATAGAAGGACGTACACTTACGCTTTGCAGATTACGCAAAAGCATTTGCCAAGTTACGCCACTAGGATCTATTTGAAGTGCATGGAAAACTATATCCGTTAGGAAAAAATATTAGAATAATCCAGAAATTATGCTGGGAGTAAACAGCCGGTATACGGATAGACAATGAATTGAGTAGTTATACAAAAATAGAAAGAGACGCGAGACAAGGATGTGTATTCTCCCCAGATTAATTCAACCTTTACAGCGATGCCATCCTAAGAGAAATAAAGATCCTATCAGGATTTATTATCGGTGAGCGTAATCTTAACAATAAAATATTCGCAGATGACACTGTGTTGATGGCCAACTCGAAAAGGAAACTCCAGAACCTACTAGACAGGGGGTAGTAAAAAGCGAGAAAATGGGATAACCGTCAAATGCAAGAAGACAGAAAGTGCAAGAAGACAGAAAGTAAGCGAAAAAGTTCAAGATGCTAGCTAGGAATTGGAGATAGATACATCAAGCAGGTGAAGAGGGTTAAATATCTGGCAAGCGCTTTAACAGGGGATGGAAAATACGACAGCGAGATCCGAACACTCGTCGAACTAGAGAAAGATGTCTTCCTAAAGCTAAGCAAGGTGCTGAGAAACGGCGAAAAATTCAATTTCCCTAAGAATGAGGAAAAGACCAGAAGCAGCAGAAATCTAGTTCAACAGAAGGATACTGGAAATTCCATGGACGGAGCCAGTACGCAACAAGGAATTCTTGAACTAAATTGCAACACAAGGAACACTTGTGTCTATCTTGAATCCCTGTTTCTATATTCTGTCAATGAAGTGGCGTATCTAAACGTCACCTCTCACTTTGGCGGTGTGACCCATGTCGTAAGGAAGTATGGCACAATGTAATCAGCAGATTCTGGTTGTGCCAAAGCGTAATGTCCTATGGAATTTATTGGTTCTGTTTCCGGTTTTTAAATTATTCCTTCGTATTTTGTGAATGTAACCTTTACGCTGTTCATGTCATTATTTTTTAACATATTTTTGAAAGTTCTGTTTTAACTGTGGGCTTGTATAAAGTTACTGCTCGGACCCGGCAGTACCTTACCTATAACTGTTGCAGTTCATCTGTTTCCTTCTCCTCCCTCCAAAGTGTTTTGTCCACTCGTCTCACCACTTTCCATGTTTTGTACAGCGTGTATAGAATCAGCAGTATCAACAGTGCCGAGATGGTCGTGGTGGCTATCACCTCTGAAGTAGACGTCCAAAATCAAGAGAGCATCTGATATTTCTTGGACACATAATGAGGAAGGAGACATGTAAAACTTAACCTTCACGAGTCTCCATGAGATAGAAAGTTCTGAAGAATCATGATCGCCTTTGTCCTGAAAGGAGGCGGTACAAAGATGTAGTGTTTCTGATAAGGCCATGTTCAATTCAGCTGGGGCAGGATTCCAGAAAGGGAATTCTCAATTCTCAAGGAGTTCGAAATCGGAATTCTTAATTCTCAAGAAGTTCGAAATCGGTACATAGAGAAAATGGCAATTAAAGTATTCTCATGAATGGTCAAACCAATTTATTCCCAAGTTAAAATATTGGTAAAATAGCAACATTTAACTTTTGACGAATTTGAGAATAATTAGTTCAAAAGTTCTTTCAAAGGATTTTCGTTACCGCGAAAAAATATTTTTTTTTGCGTAAAAATGTGACAATTTAAAAATGAAAACGTTACAAATTGAACAATAGTTTGGATAATACGAATAAGGTGGCTAACCTTCTAAACCCAAAGCATTAAGGTTTCATACGTGAAACAGTAGGCCGATTATTATCAATTAGTGAATGTGGTCGTTTTCGAGTTGCAAATGCTTTTCATATTCCTGTCAGTTTGTTTATGTCTATCCATAAGACAGCAATTACCTTGGCAAGTACGTACATATGTGTATGTATGTAGCTATGTATGTACATATGCTTGTCTGAATGTATTTACGTATGTAGCTGAATTCTTAATGAAAAAATACACAATACTAACAAAAAGCATACTATATATCTATCAATATATTTACCAGTTTGTCTAACTTTCCAGGTTTATCTATCTATCTATCTATCTATCTATCTATCTATCTATCTCAATCTGATTATACTATTTGTCTCTCAATCAGTCCACCGCAATCTGTTTATATTATCTATCTATCTATCTATCTATCTATCTATCTATCTATCTATCTATCTATCTATCTATCGAAGTCTGTTTATACTATTTGTTCATACTATCAATCTATCCACCGCCTCAAGCTCTTAATACTGTATCTATATCTTAATGCTCTATCTGTGTATCTATCTAAGTCTGTTCATATCTATCTATCTATCTATCTATCTATCTATCTATTTGAATATGGTTATGCTATTTGTTTTACTGTCTATCGCAATCTGTTTATACTATCTATCCAAATTTGTTCATACTATCAATCTATCCATCCCCCTCAAGCTCTTAATAATTCCTATCAGTGTATCTATCTATCTATCTATCTATCTATCTATCTATCTATCTATATATATATATATATATATATATATATATATATATTAATTTCTTCGTGCTTATTTAATTCCGTACACTCCACCAACATTCGTTCTATCTGTTTATCTACCTATTTACATGTATATTTGTCTATCGGACTCTCTCTCTCTCTCTATATATATATATATATATATATATATATATATATATATATATATATATATATATATATATATATATATGATTTTCGTAATATCTATCCATTTTCGTCCGCCTATATCATTCCAACTACGTTTGTGCATATTTATCTATCTATGGCATTTTCCTTTGTACACATTTTTAAAAAAGATTCAGGTGCAAGTAGTTAGTGCTCGAAGCAGCATAAACATTTCGGATTGGATATCGAATTATTACGCCACTTTACACATTGCTCCAAGTGTTCCTTCTTAAAACTTTCCCCAAAATGAAGCAATCGTAACTTACGATTTTACTCCGATTTTTCTCAAAAAAAAAAAAAAAAGGCCTGGCCAACGAAGTGTCGTTCTCTCCCCCCCCCTCTCTCTCTCACTCTCTCTCTCTCTTTCTCTCTCTCTCTCTCGTTTCAATTTCTGCAAAACGCTTAGCTTCATTAGAAATTTCAACCATACTCGTGACACTCTAAAACTGTTCAACTGTTTAACAGCAGCAAATCGCTGAGATAAAATAAATAAGATAAAATAAGTTGCCTTGTTGGGATTTGTGAAAAAAAAAACAAAAAAAAAAACGTGCCAGTCAGAATAGAATATTTCATAGTGAAATGATAAGAACTTTTTAAAATAAAGGAATAGCTCTTGTATCTATGTATGTATGTACGTATGTATGGGAATGTGGCCGACTAGTTAAAACGTTCGCATTCTGAGACCCATGTTCGAATCTCATCATGGTCCTTTCGTCAGGAAGGAGACTTCCTGATTTTATCGGACTGGAGGGATTCTGCGGCATTGTTGGAAAGTGCCTGAAAGCCATACCACGGTTTGACCCAAGCCTTGTCAATGAAACTGTGTAGACGGAACCCTTGAGGACCGTCGATAGTTGAGCTAGCACAAGTCATCGCAGCCGAGGTCTTGAGCGTGTTGACTTTGTCCAAATTGTTGTTCACGCTAGATAACACATTCTTTTCCAGAAACTCTAAAGTCTGTTCAGCATAGTTGCAGTATAAACCACAGGTGTTCTCTGTGGATGTTGAATAAACACAAATGCGCCTGAGCAGGCGTCTGCAATAGGGATAGGCTAGTCGCCCCGTGTATCTTCGAATACGAGTGGCCAGCTATTATTATGAATATATGTATGTATGTACGATCACAAGAATCACACCCTTATTAAAAGTGAAAATAATTTCCAATTTCCTTAGACGGAGAATGCACTTTTGCTCACAGACAGTACCCAACTGGCCCTACTATACTAGACAGTCGACAAAATCAAAAACAAAGCGCATTAAACTTAAAATATAAAATGGCGATAATTTACCCATCGCAGCCTATATATATATATATATATATATATATATATATATATATATATATATATATATATGACAAAAGAAAAGTGATCCATCCCCTTAGACTTTTTTTTCAAGGTAAATATAAAGATGTTATTCTTCACCCTGTATTTATAAACATAAGTAAATAATATCAATTTAAAAAAAAAAAAAAACTTTAAGAACGCTCTAAAATCAAACTATGGAAGACGTTATATGTGTCAAGGTTTTTTGTTGAATTTTCGTTTCTTATTAGTTTATATTTTTGTAAATATAATTATCATTTATTATTTTATTATAATTTAATAAATTATTTATTCATGTATTTATTTTATGTAATAGAACTTTAAAATAAAAACATAATTTATCATATTAAAATGAAATTATAACAATTATTATATTATATTATATTTAAAATTATTTTTGTAAAATAAAATATATTTATTTTAATAATAATATAATTATATTCTAAAGTTATTTTTACAAATAATATATAATTATTTTTAAAAATCATAAGAAAATGGTCAAAATTTTTCTAAGGATTTAAGAAATAATAGTCATGTACATGGTCTTCGGAAAAGGAGAAATTCTTTAAAAAAAAGGAGATATTTCAAAAAAGCTAGGGCATGAGTTAACGTTTTGGCAAGAATCGATAGCAGCATTCTTAAGAACTTTCCGCCTAAGTAAATTGGAAAATATTTTTCTTTTTAATTAGTGTGGCATTTTTTGAGATCGTATATACATACATACATATATTCATAATATATATATATATATATATATATATATATATATATATATAATGTTTGCACATAACTCTAAAGGCGCGTTGGAAAATGTTAGGCAAGTAGGTTCAGAGTTAAGAATCTATCTATCTATCTATCTATCTATCTATCTATCTATCTATCTATCTCTACTCACTCTCTCTCTCTCCCCTCTCTCTCTCTCTCTATATATATATATATATATATATATATATAGGTAGATTTGTAATCCAGAAATTTTTAGCATTTATTTAAAAAAAAACAGTGCTCGATACACAGTAGAGAAAAATATGACAATTATTTAAAAAAAAATGTCTTCATCGAGACAGAGAAATTAATATGTTAAAATTTAACTTAAAGTTAAATTTTAAGATTTAAGTTCCGGTTTCGTAATTTCATTGTCGCGATGGAGACATATTTTTTAAAAAGAATTATACATATGTGTGTGTGTGTGTGTGTGTGTGTGTGTGTGTGTGTGTGTGTGTGTGTGTGTTTCTATGTATGTATATTAGAATGTATTTATTAATCCGACAGATTTGTCTCACTTTAAAGGTTATTATTAGTACATGAGTGATATATAAAACAGAGCACCTACTCGTCTACTAGTATCCATATACTGCGTGCAGATATAAATAAATTTGAGTAATTATTGACCAGGCAAATTTTGCTTGAAATCATCAAATTTGCCTTCGCTTGACCCTCACTCTCATCGTTTCCTAAGCGCTAAAGTTGCACCACGTTAAATGATAACGCTTCCTACCTTTAGAGATGCCGGTCGTAGTCCTGCGTTTAATAAGATTTCTCGAAATTTCAGACTGGTACTTGGATATAAATATACCTACTGTTTAATACATAAACAGAACGCCAACTCAAATATGATTATCCACTAATAATAACCTCCTTTAAAATAATAATGTATATATATATATATATATATATATATATATATATATATATATATATATATATATATATATATATATATAGGTTGGTGTAAAAATAATGACGTAAGAATGTCGTTTTTGACGTGAAAAGTACGTCAAAAACGACATTATTACGTCATTATTTTTGCACCAACCTTATATATACAGGGGTTGGACAAAATAATTGGAACAGTTACAAAATTCACTCCTATATTTCAAAGACCCGTTATATTAAGAACTTTACCTAAAACTTCGTAATTGCATGTTATATCTATTGTAAATACGTTTATTTATCTAATTTACTGTCTTTGTCTTATTTATTTTTAAAATTTAGTAAAATTTAAGCTAAATGCGTGACCTCTCCGAGTTCGAAAAAGAGCAAATTGTTGGAGCTCGCATGGCAGGAGCCTCGATCACTAAGGTTGCTGAACTGCTTGGTTTTTCAAGAGCTACCATATCAAGAACATTGATGCAGTTCGAGAAACAGAGCAAGACCTCTAGCAACCGTAGCAATTCAGGCCGGACTTGCAAACTTACTGACAGGGACTGACGTGCATTGAAAGGCAATGTGGCAAAAAAAAATCATCGGACAAATGCGTCCAAAATGACTGCTGAGTTGAATGACCATCTGAATAATTCAGTTTCTACTAAAATTGTTCACCGTGAGCTCCATAAGGCTCCATATCATGGAAGAGCTGCTGTGAGGAAACCTCTTCTCTCTACTCGCAACATTCAAAAGAGGTTGAAGTGGTGCAGAGATCACAATGCCTGGTCTGCAGACCAATGGAAGCCAGTCATATTCACATGGAAGTCCAGTTTTTCTCTTTTCCCAACTTCAGGGCGAGTTTATGTGTGGAGACAGCCCAAAGAAGCTTACAAAACTAACTGCCTTCTTCCAACAGTGAAGCATGGAGGTGGATCAGTGATAGTTTGGGCCGCCATATCATGGAAATGTCTCAGTCCAATAGTTGCCCTGCATGGTAGAATCAACAGCAAAGATTACCTGAACATTTTGAGAGATCATGTTCATCCAATGGCCAAGACTTTATTCCCTGGTGGTGACTGCATCGTCCAAGATGACAATGCTCCAATACATACCGCTCGAGTGGTTAAGAATTGGTATGCAGAGTATGAAAGTGAGCTAGAACACATGGAGTGGCCTCCCCAATCTCAAGATATCAATATTATTGAACATTTGTGGTGCATTTTGGAGAAACAAGTTAGGAGCGGCTATCCTCCACCGTCGTGTTGTAAAGAGCTGGAGAAGGTTTGAATGGAAGAATGACTGAAAATTCCTCTGGATGAAGTCAGGAAGCTGTATGATTCCATTCCTAGACGTATTAAAGCTGACTGTGAGGCTAAAGGAGGACCAACTCCATATTAAATAATTTTTCTTTGAATTTAACAAGTGTTCCAATCATTTTGTCCAACTCCTGCATATATATATATATATATATATATATATATATATATATATATATATATATATATATATATATATATATAGGGTGAAAAGTAACTCTCTATTTGATGTATGAGTGGCCTGACAGGAGTCCTGACTTAACACCCTGTGACTTTTTTCTTTGGGGTTGGTTAAGGGAGCAAATCTACTATACTAAACTAAGACTTTGGAAAAACTTGAAGGGTGAATACAAGAAGTTATGTCTTCTATACCACGAGAGTTCCTGGTGGAATCGTTTCAGGCGATTTCTGGACGGCTCAGAAAGCTGATAGCAAAATCTGATGCCCATATCGAATTTTAAATAAAACCTCAGGCTAAACGCTTTTCTCTCATAACCATTTCTTGTAGACATTATAGTTAATATATAAATTATAAGTATTTTAAAATGGGAGTTACTTTTCAATCACTTTGAATATATATGAGATTTGTTGTGGTAGAGTTTGAACATAGCTATTTTCATTGGGTGCAAGATATGATTTTCGCGTGGTAAATATTGGCATTAATAAACCCGTTCAAAATCAGACCCGATGATATATAAGAAAAACTCACACCTATAAATAAAGAAGCAATGAGTCGACTTTAAATCCATCATATTTTTTTAGAAAAGAAAGAAAGCTTGAAAAAAAAAAATAGCGAAAATTCAATGAAATAAAAGAAAACACAAAGTTGCGCCGCATGTGTTGGGCTGTATAATACGCATGCGTGCACAGATCACGATGAATCACATCAAGAATTTTTTCTCTTATAAAACGAAACGAAAATATTGTCTTCTCGTTTTCCATGTCGGCTCTTGTTACACATACAAATAAATAAATAAAAGAATTAAAAAAAACTTGTTTGCATAAGTACGTTATACGTCTATGTGACTGTACGAAAAAAAAAATTAAGAAAAGAAACGATCGTCAGCGTAAGCGTGCTTATGCGCGCATGCGCAGTTGGTTTAATTGGCTGACAACATCCGGTTTTGGAAAATTTAGTTATTTTGTGCGTTTTAAAAACATATGGGCTAAACCTGAAGAGTGACGCATGTGTTGCATCAGTTTTCCAAGTAGGGAGAGCCTGCTTCCCCGCTTGCCTTAAAAATCAGCATTAAAATATCTTGTTACGCTCGAACAGGGGGCCTTTGACGTCGGTTAAAAAATACTGCCACAGCCACAAGATCGAACTCACGCCATTCTTGGTCGCCGTCATTAGTTTGTTAATTGCTAATCCATGTCAAGACGTTTAGCTATTCGGTTTTTTTTATTATTATCTTCCTTTACAATGATTATTGATTAATTTATTATGGTGCGTGACCACATCTGCAATCATTCAATGAGTATGAAACTCACTACAGATGTTAATGGCCCACGAAACTAACTTTTTAATCATCCAATGGTAAAGTTCTTTACTGATGGAATCTGCAGGGAAACGTAACGTTCATAGATGCGGAAAACGGAATCGCCGAGTCGAATTCAAATTCCGTTTCAAATTTGCGTTCACTTTCTCATTTTACCTTAAGCCCCCACTGAGTCAGGTTGTGGCACAAGGTCGGTTTTTAACGTAGGGACCCGTGTGTTTCCACTTGGGTCGCTGGTCTAAACTGATCTTGCTTGTCTAAGCCGGCCAAAGCTTGTCTTGCCTGGTCAGGGCTTGTCTAAGCTGGTCATAATCGGTCATACCACCGCTACGTAACAGATGTCACGCAACGGAGCGGGTGACGCAAGGGAGGGAGAAGGCTTCCGGGACAGAGAGATACTGCAACCGCAGTATCTACTCCTCCCCTGCCAATCACCGCGGAAGAATCCAGGAAGAGAAGCCCCACTTTCTTATTAATGCTCTAGGCACAAGCATGAATCCATATATTCTCCCCACCATAAATATGGATTCAATGAAAAGTTTTACAGGGCTCTAAACTTGGACGGCAACCAGTGTAAAAGAAACGAAAACCCGAATAATATATTGTGGAGAAGGCAATAGCAAAAAAAATTATATTTTCTTAGAAGGCATGGTAATCAATACATAATAAAGAAAAGTAACTTGCGGAGTGCTATGACCCTCTACGTCATGAAGGGACACGTCATTTTTTTAAAAAATCATCATTGATATTTAAGTAAAATGAAAGATGAATCAACATGGGCGAGTAAACCAGTTACGATTTAAGAAATCCAATTTGCTGATCACTGGTCTACGGAGAAGAGCGCTCAGCAAAATTGACTACCTAGAACCTAGACAGTTGGTTTTGAATTTGATAGCAAACCAGTTCATATGTATTAACGAGGTGTAATTTAGTTTGTAGAGACGCATCTATTAAGAAGCGAATTTATTAGTCATTAATTTTTTTTGATCATTTCACCGCAAGTAAGACAATAAAGCCACTAAGACGCAAGCGGAGGGGGTGGTTAATGAGCGTGAAATAATATGTGAAACCGTTATCAAGGAGAGAGAAGGATACGAAAGATAACAATGGCGCGTTTAAATTTTTGAAGATCAAACTTGCATGGAAATCTAGGAGCCGAAATAGTGATCCAGAAGCGAGAAGTGATAGAGAAGAAACTGTTAGCATAGAACTTACGGTTACATCTAGCTATTGCAACTTTAATATGATAGAATCTAGCTGCCAATCGAGCCTTGCCCTTAAATTCGAAGTAGCAAAGAGGAAAGTTTATCAGGAAAATTACCGCGAAAAAAAATTATAAAATAGACACAGCAAGCAACATTACGTCATCGGATGACTGAATGAAGCCGAGATACCAGATCAGAACTGATAAAATTGCGGATTCTTCTTTGGAGTTTATCAGGGATCTCTGAATACAGAGTAGAAGCACCAAATCAGAGGTGGCAACAATGTTC